AAAATCTCATAGATAAAACGATCAAGTAAAACATATATAAAACATGCATGGTTCAGTTTAAGGCCAATTAATCTCTTAGAGACTGTCCAGGTGCACAGAACACAAGACAAAGGGAATGAGGAAGATAAGAACTTGCCTGTAGCTTTAGACTCAAAACTTGTCGCCGTCGTCCTAACTTCCGGCAACCACAGACTACCTTCTAGCCTCCTCTGGTTCTAGTCTAATCCACCAAAATCCTCCCTTGGTACTCACTGTTCTTCTCCTTGACAATTCTTACAGTGCCTCCGTTCCCAACCCTCTGTGCTGAGAACTTACTTCACGTTTATGTAATCTGATTTATGATTTTAAAACCTAGGCTACAGCATAATAGTTGCATTTATAGGTTTAACTCTAAAACCCTAATCCTTGTAATTTTAGAGACTGGGCCCTAATCTTAATTCTAGTCGGCTCATGAAACTATCTCTGTTACGGCTTACCTATACGTGAAATTCCAATCCCAAAGTTAACTGTAACTTAAAACATAATTAAATTAAAACTCAATTAAATAATTAAATATACTTAACCAATTAAATAATAAAAGATAACACATGTCACATAGGTAAATAATTAAATCAAATTAATAAATAAAATAAACACATGTCACATAGGTAAACAATTAAATCAAATTAATAAAAAAATATATATAATTAAACCAAATAATCACCCAAAAATACAATAAAAAATAATAAATAAATGCCGAGACTATCCTTTTAAAATTAGGGGTATTACAACTACTCACATCACATCACCTAGTCCTCTTGGAACATACAGCTCGCGACACATCCTCTAGCCATCACCGCTGGTACCAAACATTGGGAATACACAATCCCTAATTAGTAACTCATGACTCACACCCCACCTATCAAGACCACGCTCAGAACAAGCACTAATAAAAACCAAAGACTACACCTCCCTCCGTGGGAATGAGTAGACTAACCCAACTAAACATTTACCGGTGAACTCTAACAACATAAAAAACCACACATGGGTACGCCATCCACGGATGCGCACAACTCCTAAATGGAGAACAAGACTTACGACAACGATGTCCTTGTCAAGACTAAAATAAACGGAAAGGGTAATGAACTCTGCTCTCACAAGAGACTGACACTCGTGCCTAAACTCACCCAACACCCTGTCACACGCTGCTCACTGATAAGCGCCGAATATTGTATATTCAAGCGCCCTAAATTGCATTAGTTAAGTCCATCGTTTGATTATTTAAGTAGATTATCTTCATTTGTGTGTATGTATATATTTTCAGGTCCATTTGCCAAAAAAGGAGCAAAATCAAGGCTTTGTGGAGTTTTGGCCATCAAAAGGCACAATTCTGAATTTCTGGCAGCAGTGGAGTCAGGACTTTGCTCACCATTTTGACCTTGCAAACTCGAGAACTGGACTTCCATTATAAAATGGCATATTTAGAGCTCTGAATCATCTTTCCAAATCTTTAAGAAGTTTGTCATTCGGAGCTCGGACCAGAGAGTTATGGCCTTCTTACCAGAGGTGCGCAGAACTGCCTGGCAGCAATGAAATTCTGCCTTGATCTTCATTTTCGACCAATCATCCTTGAGAATTGGATCTCCACCAAAACATGAAGTTTTTAGAGCTCTGAATTAGCTTTCCAAATCTTCAAACGGTTCATCATTTGGAGTTTAGAGCACAAAGTTATGGCCGTTTTACCAAAGTAGGTCCGGGATGAGCAAACCAAGCATAGGGCATTCTGGCCAATTTTCGAGTGCTCGAGGCCTAATTTCGAGTGCTCGAAATTAGGGCAGATTGTTTCACGAGATCAGCAGTGGAGTTAGGACTTTGTTCGCCATTTTGACCTAGAAAGCTCGAGAACTGGACTTCCATCATAACATGAAAGATTTAGAGCTCTGAATTAGCTTTCTAAATCTTCAAACGGTTCATCATTCGGAGCTCGGAGCAGAGAGTTATGGCCTTGTTACCAGAGGTGCGCAGAACTGCCTGGCAGCACTGAAGTACTGCCTTTCTCCCCATTTTCGACCAACCAGACTTGAGATTTGGGTCTTCATTAAAACATGAAGTTTTTAAAGGTCTGAATCAGCTCTCCAAATGTTTAAACGGTTCGTCATTCGGAGTTCGGAGCGCAAAGTTATGGCTGTTTAACCAAAGTAGGTCTAGGCGGAGCAAGTGAAGCATGGGCATTTTTACACTAAATTCGAGCGCTCGAGGCCTTGCTTAGAGTGCTCGAATTTGGGGCAGAATTGCCTTCGGGAATTCTCATTTTGGCAGCCACTTGTGCATTGGTTTCCTCATTTTCTACTTACTTCTTTATGAGGTGGTTGGGGATGTTTTTGGAGGAGAGAGAGAGCTTTGTTGAAGGAGATAAGGCAAGGAAGGCCACACATATCATTATCCTATATTCTAGGAAGATAGAGGAGAGAGAAGAGAGCAAGGAGGAGGGTGTTCTTGAGTGCTACAGTAGGAACACGAAAATGGAGTCTTGGATGGAGCTTCTTCCTTCTTCTAGCTTAGCAATGGGTAACTAACTCTTTCTCTAGGGAGGTGATGAAGTCCCTCCCTTGTAAGCATGTCCTAGGATAGTCTATTTTGGGGATTTGCCATGTATATTTTATGGTCTTTTCATAACCAAGAGCACCTCATTTGTTGTAATGAATGTTGATACATGTATGGATGATTTCTTTAAGTTGATTATCTTGTCTTAGATGATGTCTTAGAGTAATCATATTGCTTGAGTTTTTCATGGTGAGAGTGGAAGCAAGGTTATGAAATGGTTTCATGGCATGTTGATAGGTGACTTTGATAGACCATTGCTTAGGAAATCCTTTGATGGTGTATGCTTAATCTCTAACTCCATGTGCTTTATCATTTTGTCAAGAACTTGATAGTCTCTCATTTAAGTAAATGTGTATAAGCTATACCTTAGTTAGGTAGTCTAAGCATGTTTATCTTTTGATGGATTATACTTGTTTGAGACCTAATGTACCTCTTGATTACTTATATGGCAACCATGTGTTGCTATGTAAGTCTTGACCATCATATGTTGTTTTTCCCCCAATTTAGGTCTAATCTAGCATATGTATAGGGATGGAGGCGGATTCACTTCCCTAGTCTCCTCTTCTTAATCTTTTCATCCTAAATTCCTTGCAAATTAGTGTTTTATGCACTTTGAATTCCTAATTTAAGTGACAACAAACAAAACCTCTACGAACACCCCTTCATCATCCTAAGAATGACTCTAGACACTTAGGTTGCCTTAGACTAGCGCAGTCCCAGTGGTTCGACTTACCCGACCAATAGCCCTATTTTACAATGATTCGTGCTATTGCGAAGGTTGATGTATAGTTGATCAACCGATCACTCACCAATCGTCCAACCGTGGACACTCAATTACACTTGAAATGAAACGAACTCCTTACACACAAGGAGAAGAACCAACTGCCCCATAACCGGTTAGATGATGAAAAACATCCAACCTCTTCTCTGCCCATACATCTAACTGGGTACATGGAATCTTCTACTCGGGTAGTTGAACACACAAAAACCTATCTAACCGGTTAGAAAACTCCTTCTAACCGGTTAGATTAGATGAACTCATCAAACCAACACACTGCCCATTCATCTAACCGGGTAGATACCCCCATCAAACCTGTTAGATGATACCCAATGATGAAAATAACGAAATTCTTGCTTCCCAAACCCATTCCAGTGCAATCCCAAAACATCTAAACATGAAATTAAAATTCTATGGACATCATCAACCCCTAAACATTTCATAGAATCGTCAAAATAACATCTTTTATACATCTCTCGTGAATCAAAATATATGAATCGTCTTTACACGATTTCAAGGAATCCCCCCCCCCCCCAATTAACCTCTTCCACTAACCAACATACATATATACATCCACACATATATATATAACACAACAATGACCTAAATTAAATAATGATGTACTAAAATATATGAGGTCCCACACGGCGAATAAACGATGCACGGAGAAAATAAATAAATAAAATAAAATAAAATTTTGAAAAAAACCAAAAATTTTGGGACATTACAGTGCTACTTGATGTGACATTAGGAAGGGCATTGCCCTAAATGAATTGAAGACGATTATACTCTCGCAGGATAGGTTACATATACTCTTGGAGGATTCACCTTGCAGGGTATAGGTTACATATACTCTTGGAGGATTCACCTAAATGAGAGCGTTGTATGGCCGTGACTTTAGGAATTAGGTTGTTCCCAAAAGCTCTCATGAGAAGCAAGGTACATGTGTGTGACATTTGCGTTGAAATTTGTTTCAGGGTCAATTTTAAGACATTGTCTCTCATATTCCTCAAATGGAGACTATCAACACTACGTGCAAGTTCAGGTCTGAAAGACTCGTACTATTAAAAGTTGCCCAATTATATGTATGTATCTTTTCCATTATTTGATTTTTATCAAATAGGTGAGGATTATTACTAGTATTTAATAAAAATCTTAAATCTTAAATATTATTCTAATAATTTCCATTATTACTTTATCTTTAATTTCATGTTTAAGCAGGGACATCTACCATACCATTTATGTGAGGCAAACTTTGTGACGAGAATGGTGTAAGCTAGGTTGCGAGCCTAATATTCTTAGAAAAAATATTAGTCTATCTCCTTTTTACTTAATTTTATGAGTATTTTATTTCCCAACACAAACTAGGGCTATGTCCGCGCGTAATTTCTTATCAAACACCGATCGAATATAGAATGTAGTTGATGTAGAACGAACCATTTTTAAACTTTTGACCTATTTGAAACTAAATAAAACCCAATGGTGCACAGAAAACCAGACTAGACCATCAACCAGACCAATAGGAGAAATATTTCACACTGTAGGACTTAAAATTGTCCAATAATACTTTGAAAGTCAAAACATTTGAGTGTGGGAAAGATTATAAGCAAACAAAGAATAGCTGTAAAATGGTTCTTACCAATTAACACAACCAATCAGATGTTGTGGTACTCCTGACCCGGAGAAACTTTCCCTTGGAGACTCCATGAGTGAATATATTCCTTTTCGGCCTTCCACGTGATCGATGTCCTCAAAGTGAACTCTGTCACGTAATGTCACACGTACACGCTTTGATAATTAATTATTACACTATGATCCAAAAAGTTGATGCATAAAACGTTTTAATGAACAAAAAGTCAGATTCTTTTCAATGTGTCCTCCCTCTCCTTTTTTCATGTCTGGGAGATTACTTGAAAGTCGAATGCAAGAATGCCAATGTGCAATATTGCTATATAATTACTTCACGTCATATGGAAACAAGACAATGAGGAAAGTACAACCAGTACGAGTGTTGTCTATTGCTACATTATAATCATCCACAAGTTTTTCTCAGTACATGCAGTTAAATCATATGATATGGGAATATATATATATATATATATATACACTGTGATAGATGTATAGAATTTCTAAAGTTTCCAGGTATCTAAACCTATTCAACATAAAACAAGCTTTAGGCAACTAATCAACCTTACTCCAACCAAATTCCCAAGCTATATGAATCTTGTTTATCCTTTCCGCAATATTGCTTCCTGTTCTATTAAATCGTAGTCTTTTTTACAAGATCAATGTCTTTTAATTATAGTTACAGTCTCAAACCTTCACCAATAGCCGGTCACCGGTCTTTTCTGCACTTTTAATATCAAAGCCAGTTTGGTTCTTTCAGTGAACAATACTTCCAAGCAAGGGAGGAACTAGTAATGGGCTAACCTGGGCTATAGCCTAGGTCCAATTGAAAAAAAAAAAAAAAAATTAGTACTATTGCTCCTATAAGCCCATGTACTACTCTTCCTCTTCCTCTTTCTATCAGCCTAGCCCAATCCATAGTATTTCTATAAATAAAAAGAGTTTTAAAATGTACAAAGGTCAAACCTTAAATATGAGCAAGCCCATGACCCCTAGACATGCCCAAATACAAAATAAACCATAATAAAATATAATAGGGCCCAACCTAGTAAATCTAACACATTGTTAGTTTATCGAATAAGACCTAAACTCTTCGTGTGTAAGGCACTAAGGCGTAGGTGGATGGATATCATGGATTATTATTGTTAATCCAGTGAAATATTGAATTTTATTTTTGTAAAAAAAAAAAAAAAGGGCTTTGTTGATGACTTGATAATTTCTTATTAAATTGGGTAATTTACTATATAATGGATTAATAACTAGTCATGGACGGAGCACATAGGTCTTACTTTCTAATGTGAATTTATTGATAAGGAACATATATATCTGCATTCTTGTAGTTGTTTGTTTTAATACTTATATGAAGCAAACTTCAATGGATTTTTGATTGTGAAAATACGTTAGAATTTGGAAGTGTAAATGTGTTAAAAGGTTGTAGATTATTGGGTTTAATTGAATAACTGATGCATGATAATTATGTATTTAGAGTATGGATGACACACTAAGTAATCATGGATTTAATTATTTTTATCCCTTCCTACTTTGCAATCCTGGCTCCGCCCTGCTTCCAAGTTATTATTAAAAAACTGATAATATCATCTCCAATCTAAAAGACAATAATTAAGTAATGACTTCTTCTGTGGGTAATGGGTATAGTTTCAACCCGCACGAGTGGCCCAGTGGTAAGGAATCTCCTAGGGAACCATAAACGCAGACATCCTAGGTTTAATTCGCATAGGGCGCAAAAACACAGGGGCTTAACTAAACGGAGTTTGCAAATCTTCCATAGAGTCTAAAGTTGCTAGCAGGTGAGTTAATTCTTCACTACAAAAAAAAAAAAAAAAAAAAAAAACACACACACACAAAAGGTACTGTTTCAAGTGGTCTAGGTTTTGGTAAAATCTCTTCATAAAACTGCCTCGTGATGTTTCAGTCCATGATTAGTGAGCCAGCTTTAACAGTAATTTGCCACCAAAATCACCAACTAAAAGAGAACTTTTTTATTATAAGTTCAAGGATTAGAGTCTTCTGATGTGCAAAGACAACTTCTCTTAGAAGTTGTAAGTTTGAAGGTCTAAGAAATGTCATAGTGAGAGCCACTTCAAACATTAATGAACAGACTTACCGAAAAAAAAAAAAAAACCATTAATGAACAGTCAGCACGTAATATTCTAGCTTCAGCTAACTTGCGTGAAACTCCTATTAGTTTAAGAAGGTACAGTTGCAGGTGGATAAGATGGTGAGAAAAGCATTTGGACTGCAATATACTAGAAGGTTAGGTACAGTCCTAAACATAGAAAAATCCTTTTGCCAGGGTATGCTTAAGTCACAAAATATAGAAAGATTGAAAAGCAACAAATCCATACAATAAATTTAATCATAAAACCATACATCTTATAAATTTAGACTATAAGAACACAAATTGCATGCAGTTATCATCGGTAGAAGCAATTGGGCATTAGTTAAATGATATAAAAAAACGAAAATCCGAATCCAAATTTACATATATGGAATAGTTGATACTACAACAAGACGCAATTCAAGTTCATAAGAATGTTATATATAAATAAATATCGCAATAAATTAAGTACCGAATCAGAACTTACATTTGAAAGCGTTAATTGATGGTTGTTTGGGATGGGTGCCTTGACTCTCTCTGGTCTGGTATTTCTTTCGGTAAGGGACGAGCTAGAGCTGAAACCAACAAGCAAACAAGCAACGTGTGTGTATGTATATATATCTATATATATATTTCTGCAATATGATAGAGATTTTCCACAGTGTAGTTTCGTGAGAAGCTGCATGAGAAGAATTACGGTAACAAACACCTCAAGCAAACAATGTACAACTTCCCAATTCTTTGTGAAAATATTCAGAAGTCAAGGTCAACTTGTAATTAATGATTTTATGGAAATTAATGCATTGGCGAGAATATTTGACTTTAAAATTATTTTCTCTCGACTTTGGCATATTTCTTAGCACCTTTGATCTTTTACACGAATATTACCTTGTGATTCAGAACAAAGCAAGTGGCAATTTCTTAAAGTTTTGAACATTTAGTGATTTTATGGAAATTAATGCATACGCTAGAATATTTGACCTTAAAATTATTTTCTTTCGACTTTGACTTATTTCTTAGCACCTTCGTTCTTTTACACGAATATTAAGATCCTGATTAAGAAGAAGGCAAATGGCAATTTTTTGAAATTTTGAACATTTAGTGATTTATGGGAATTAATGCATATGCTAGAATATTTGACCTTAAAATTATTTTCTCTCAATTTTGGCTTAAATATTAGCACCTTCCATCTTTTACACGTCGTCGTGATTGAAAAGAAAGCAAATGACAATTGCTTGAAGTTTTGAACTTTTAATTATTTTATGGAAATTAATACATAGGCTACAAGAAATTGCCATGTCTATTTGTCTTCTTCACTCTCTTTCTTCGTGATAAATATTTTTGGTCCTAGAGAAAAATGAAATGACAAATTAACCCCGGTGATCACATTGACATTGGTCATGTAGTGTTGTTGCAATAGTCAAATTGGTCTTTTGCAAGGATGAGACTTTTGCGACATGGCCGGGGGTATTTATTATGAAAGGTATCCTTTAACGTCATGGTGAGATTCACATCCCATGCCGCTCAGACGTGTGATACTGCATCACGACTCACTAAATAAAATTATTAGGTAGTCAGTCACTTGACATGGCCAATTACAAACTATTTAAAATGATATAAATCGATTTTAGTGAATTTTAATACGTAATAGTTTGTAGGCAGCAGAAGACTGAATCATTTATGTTGGGAGTTTTTCATAAATATCCCCAACAACCTAGTTCCAATAATGACTTGGAAGATAATACTATCCCGAGATACATTGGTTACACACCAACCTTGCAAATGTTGTACTTATTCTCAAAAATCTTGTGTTGTGCTTGTATATCCTTCAAATTAAAATATATATTTGAAATCTTCAATTAAATTTTTGTTTATTTTAACATTATGGCAGCGATTCAGTGCTTTAAAACGTAATATTAAGAGTTCACAACTTTTTGAAATTTGATTTTCTGAACTCTTTACCTGTGTTTGTTACATAAAAAAATAATAGATGATGCAATTTTGGAACTTTTTGATAGTACAAGAGAATTTGGTGTAATTTGACTTAAATATTTAAATAGAAGGTCTTAAAGACTTCAACTCTTCATCCATTTAAATTTTAATTTTAGGATTAATTTCACTCGACCACTCTTAAAGTTTAATCAAGTATCAGTATAAAACATCTTTTCAAAATAACTATCACTTAGGTTCATTTTCACTTCTACTATGTTAAAAGCATCAGAAAAGACAACTTTGCCCTTATTTTTTTTAATAATATTTATTTCAAAATATGAAATTAATTAAAAGACAATTATACCCCTACAATTATACCACAAATAAAATCCATAACTTTGTCATCTCTCCGATAATGTCATCGCAATTATGGAGAGATTATCAGTACGGCAGTGGTTGTGGGGTGAGTGATGGTTGTGCAGCGGGAACAGTGGTGGTTATGGGTCTGGTGGTTACGATGTCGAAATCATGTGAACCATTCACAGTTTCGATGATTGATGTCGAAGTCGTCACCTGTGGTGTCGGAGGCGATGAAGACGACTATGACATTACCGATTTTTTTTTTTTTTTCGTTTTTCTAATTTCTCGAATTTATTTGATTTTCTAAATTATTTTAATCCTTGTCTCATTTTGCGTGCCACACCGGCCTCGAGGGGCGTTTTGGTCAATTGTTGAGTCGAGCGTTTTAGAAGTGTTTTTTTTTAATCATTATAAGTCAATTAAAAGCGACGGTGTCATTTTTAGAATTTTTGGAGGTTGGCACGATTTCCGAACTCGGGAACTTCTCCCGGTTTGTCATTTTAAGAAAGGGGTATAATGAACATTTCTCATATATATGTATATATCTATGTCTATATATTAGAGGTAGATATTTGTGGGGTAAGAATGGCATTTCATTAAAGGAGGAGGGACAATATAGTAACTTAGCTTGATTTAGAAATTACACAAATGGTGACACTTGGCACAATCTTGGCCATGGAAGATGCAAGACCACTTTTCACTTCTAATTTTCGGGCACTATTCCTCTCTCTCTATCACTTTCTCTAACTCTCTCTATATCTATACATAAGCACACAATTATATCTTCTAAGAAAAACTTTGATTTGGAGAGTTTAAGGTAAGATTTTGAGGGAAAGGAAGAAGGGATGTTGGAGAGTTTGGCATGAGCTTTCATTAGAGACCAAAGGTGAAAGGGCTTAGAGGATTTCGAAAATTGGGGCATTTCTTCTAATTGAGGTAGAGTTTGTCTAATTGTCGATTTTCTTGGAATTGGTAGTTAATTAAATGTCTTTCCCTCCTTTGACATGCCAATTTGATGTTAATTGAATAATGAAGATTTTAGGGTTTTGGTTGATGCATAAACTTTGTCTAATTAATGTGTTTGATGGAAATTAATTTTATCTTGTGTATTAATTTCAATTAACATGCTATGAAGTTGCTATATGGTGGATTATCTCTATTACTCTTTATATAGTCAACTTGGTGTATGTAGAAGCATGTTTAAGTGTTGGATTATCTTGTTATGGTAGTGAAATTGCTTATTGGATAATGAAAGCATGATGAGAATTTGAATGGTTGAAATCAAAATATTTCATGTGCATGTCATGAGGGTATTGATGGGTATAAGAGAGGTGAGGGTGTGAATGTGATGTGTGGATGTATGGATGTGTGGAGGGGTGAATGAAATGTGTGCGTGTGTAGGAGTGTGGAAGTGATGCGTGAACATACGATGGTATAGACGGAATGTGTGATTAGGTGAGGGTAGAGTGTGATGTGTGGTTGCATTGGCATCTTGTGCATAGCATTGAATAAGATGGTGTGTGAATTATTTAAAAATTGAGGTGTCGTATGTGAATCCCTCGCATGATCCCCGTCTCTTTTTCCGATTCATTGCTTGTAAGGCATGTAATTATTTGCCATGCTTGAGGATATGCCACTTAGGTATTCTCTACTGAGCCTTGTGCTCATTCCTCTACTTATTATCATTTTTCGGGGATTGAAGATGAGCCAGTGAATAATATACATCCTGGATATCAATGTAGATAAGACTTCACTTTTATTTATACCAAAGCTATGTAAATTTTGGCCATAGAGGCCTTACTCTTGTATTTAATTCTTTTGAATTTTGTATAAAATGAGACTTACGTAGTTCGGTCTTTAAATGATGTATTGGAACGTGTTATGTATCCTACAAAAATTTCGTTATCAATATGTATTATTCTTGCAACATGTTAAATGATTGGATTCATTTTGTATATAGCCCTTGGATAATGAAATTAAGTTTTACTCACTCAAAATAATCAGTTTGTGTGTATTTTAAGTAGCAAATTACGTAATAACGTGGTTGTTGTACTCGAATTTATTGTTGAAATGTATTAATTTTGAACGTAACTGTTGTGACGTGGGTGGTTGAACGATCAAAAGTTGGTGTATAGGGGTTACATAGGACAGTGGAAAGTGGGACTGAAGATTTTCTAGAACCGATCTACCGGTATCTTCACAGTTTGTTTGAGCATTTCACGTCCCTAACCGGTCGACCGGTATCCCAAACCAGTCGACCGGTATCCGTTGGAACTTATCTGTCTTTTCATGTAATTACCAATTTAAGTTCTTAAAATTACACTTTGGCATCATTTGAAGTTGAAATTAATTATTTTTATGACCTAATTAAATGCCAAAATTATATTTTTGCCCCAAAAGGACTATTTTACCCCGGACCTCATTTTAATTATTATGCGATGCAAGTAAATGGCCATATTACCCTTTGAGTCTCAAATTATTGAATTGGGGCAAATTACCATTTTGTCCTTTTTGGACCTTGATAATTAAATTTAACGTGAAAAGACCGTTTTACCCACGGATGATTTTGGGTCGGGTAAGGACCCGTTTAATGATCCGGATCCAGTGGATTCGGGTCGTTACAGAATGGTATCAGAGCTTTAGGTTCAAAAACCTAAGGACGACGGGTAGGGTTGACCTAGAAGAGTTAGAATTGGGTTTGACGACATTGCATGCTTATGTGATGATTAATTTTTGGTTCAAAAACATGACTTATTGCTATGTGCTTATGTGCTTACATGTTACTATATTTAGTATATGTCTCCGTATTCATTGCTCATTAAGTTTATTAATTGTTGAATGGAAAAGTATGATCAACTGTTAATGTTAAATGTATATGTGCAGCTATTTATATGATTAAATTTGTCTAAAGCATGCTTGATTTGCTACATGTTTAATTGTTAATTGTTATTGTTGATGAATGAATGCTTAGTTGACTACGTGCTTAATTGTTAAGTGTAATTATAATTCAAAGCATGTATATGAGTTCTTATTGCACGTAATTGAGCACGATAGATATGATCCTGTTTTGGGAAGTAGTTGTACGTCTAGATTCGTGTTGTGGTCGTTCATCCACTAAGGAGTGGATGTTCGTGTAACTAGTTTGTTTCGTTGTTGATGAGTTTGAGGTTTCGGGACAGTGTTGTATATTGAGTTGCGGAAAGTTTTGATCCACGTAAGTGAGGGGCTTGATCACTTCTATGTTTCTAAACGTTTAGTTCTTATCAAATGAATAGTGTGAGCACCGTAGCTCGTGGATTAAGCTACTTTATGTATTCTTGTTGATCATTTGGTTGTCATTGTAGAACTGTGTTTAAAGATTACGTGAAGTGATGGACCCGAATGAAATTGGACAGCGAACAGGTGAAGG